ACACACACACACACACACACACACACACACACACACACACACACACACACACACACACTCTCTCTCACATATTTAGTAGATTTGTCCTCTCACAGAGGAGACAGACAGAGAGGAAGAGTGAAATTAGAGGCGTAACGTGAGTCTGGGTGGAGCACGACTGAGCACAACCACAAACTACTGTAAAACCAGCACAGCATTTCTGACCGTCTCGATGCCTGCGAGCGCTACAAACACCAGACACTTTCAGTATCACTTCCCTCGAGGCGATCAGGAACTTCACATGAGCTCTGCTGCTTACAGCACACGAGAACACAAACACCAGTCTGCAGATAGTTCAGTTCAGTCTAGTACTCAGACACTACGGAGCCCCGCACATGGCATGCAGGAAAAAAATAGCAGGCTAAATCGTGTGCACGATTTATATATATTTTTCTTGCATGTCATGTGCGGGGCTCCGTAAGACAACAATTTTGTGTAAAATAAATGTATTTCATTAGCTGTAAATTAACTCTAACATTTAATACATTTAATAAATAATGTGTATATTCTCATATTATATGTGTATAAACTTTAATAAATAACATGAGTGTGTGTGTGTGTGTGTGTGTGTGTGTGTGTACATTTTAAAATGTTATTTAAAACAATATTTTCATATTTTAAAATATTTATTTTTTATCCTTTGGCAGAACACAGGAAAACAGAATTGTGCGATATAAACTCAAAATAAATATTCACAATTACCTTTTAAATTTTTTTCCCCGTGGTGGGAACAAGTTTTCATACAAACACAAATCAAAAGTGTTTAATTCATGTTTAAAAATAGTTAAATATAACAAGGTAATAACTCATTTTTAAGTGTAACTTAATTTAAAATTGATAAAAATTCTAATGTATTTTATTGTTACATTTAACAAATTAAGCATGAATTAAATAAGCTGTTTAAATTGTCTATTTAGACAGTGTTATTTTTTAAATAATACACTAAAATTATTTTCTCCATTTTATTTGTAAGTGGCAATCTTTTCATTTTAAATGCATGACATGCTATCAACATGTTAATTAAAGTACCACTTATTTAAAATCAAAGCTAATTAAAAAACCTAGTCAACCGTACTAATTTACTGGTTGTCCCATCTCTACTAGAGACATGAACAATATGGCAAGACACTTTAATAAAATGCTTTTGCGGCTGAATCTTGACATTTATGTGGATATCTGGCTCTGTGCGGCTCACGAACACAAGGTTTTTCAGGCAACTGTTCACAAGCGCAAAAAGCCTTCAGAAGGTCCTCAAACATGTCGTTATAAAAGCCGCGGTACGGGCTAATCAGGGGCTTTCTATCGGATCTCCGCCACAAACACACACAAACACCTGCAGCGATGAACAGTGAGTGTTGAGCAATGCTGAGGTGTGTCGCTAAACAGCTGCGCTCTCAATGCATTCACTTCCATTCGCAATGCAGAGCGCTGGGATTATCCTCTGCTGCTTACTTAAGAAAAAAGAAACCTTGAAAAAGCTGAGGACGTGCATGAAATCCAAAGGCAGTGGGACTCAAGCTGTTTGAATTCCATGTGTTGCTCAAGGTTTCTCTATTCTCTCAAGCAGCCTTGAACACGAAGAGCCGTTATAGCGAGTCATTCAAACACAATTGTTTGAAAAATAAGTGACGTGGGTTTGCTAGAACAAGAAAGGGAATGGAGCTGTGAGCGTGTGCATCCCGCTGCCACTCTTAGCGCTAAACAACCCTAGGATATCGCCACTAAATGCAATGTTATTCACTGTGCTCTGACATTTCTGCTCCTTTATGAACACATGCTTTGACTGAACAAACCAGACCAAAAACAAGTATAAATAAACCAAAACTAAACAAACACAAACCAAACCAAAAACAATACCAGCACAAAATAAAATAAAATAAAAACAAACAATACAAGCACAAAATAAAACAAACACAAAACAAAGCAAACACAAAATAAACCAAAATTAGCACATAATCCAAAACAATCACAAAATAAACTAAAAACAAAATAAGCACAAAAAAAAAACCAAACCAAAAACAAAATAAGCACCTAAACAAAATTAAACAAAACAAGCAGAAACCAAACCAAGCACAAAGCACAAAATAAACAAAAACCCAAACCACACCAAAACCAAAAACACAGTCAACACAAAATAATACAAAACAATCACAAAATAAACTAAAAACAAAATAGATTTTAAAAAATCCAAACCAAACCAAAAACAAAATAAGCACAAAACAAATAAAAAAACTACATTTTTGAGTGTGGGGTGATTTTTAAGCTCTTATCTTTGTGTACCAGCAGGAACCAAAGAGAAACACAAAACACAAATCTGTAAGATTATGCTTGTTTTGATTACATGTTCAGCTCTATATCTGACAAACAAGAGAATCACATTTCCTTTATACAATCTCACCCCAAACTATCCTTTGTGGTCTGTTTTGTGCTATAAAGCTTACGCTGAAGGAATCTAATATATAAGAAGTCTTCTCTAGAGAGAGTAATGATAGCTTCATGATACTGTTGATTATGAAGCGTTGCTGATTTATACGGTAAAAACACTCGAAACTGAAAGAGCATTTCTCTTTGTCTGCACTGGCTCTCCTTTGTTCCGTGAGTCTGTCTGCAGCCGCAGGTAAACACAGCCGAGGCAATGAGTGCAGCGCTAATAACAGCCCTCACATATTCATATGTATTTATAAATCCAAGCAACCGGGCTCGAAAGCAGAGCTGTCACTGTAGCAAAGACATGGCCTTATTCATAAGGCGTGTTTATTTACGACAGGTGGGTGATTCTCAGAGGAAAGGACGGCTTGTTGAACAGCTCAAGGCTTTGCCAGCGGATCCTGCTGTTCCTCTTCACGTGTGCTTTACTGACGGAGGACAGCGTGTGCTCGCACAGGAATCTCAGACTGGATATTTAGTCTGGTGGAAATACACTGACGGTTTGCTCTGACAAGGCAATCTAGTCTAAATGAATGTCTTGATTGCATACGGGAGAGGAAAAACAGAACCTGTCTAAACCAAGCTGAACATTAACAGTAGTG